CACAGACAATTGAGACTGGACATGGTGTCACGGCCTATAATCCCAGCTGTTGGGAGGCTATAAACAGGGATCACTATGAGTTCGATCTAGTAGTGAGACCCTGAGCACCCTGTAGACCCTTCCCTAAAGATAGGAAGAGCACACGTCTGAACTCCAGTCACGCCGCAACATCCCGTATTCCGCCAACAAAAAAAAAGAGACTTATGTTTTATGTGTAGTTGTCCCTCAAATCCTTATGTAATGATGGGGGCAGCAGGCTCCTAGAGTTTGTGATTAATTCATGATCTAATGCTGGGGTTATTGGTGTGAGTGTTACACACACCCTGGGGCAGAGAGCCTGAATACAAGGAAGAGAGAGAGAGAGAGAGGGGGGCTTGCTAGCTGCTGCTTCTGCTTTTTGCTCTTGCTGTTTTCTTTCTTTTTTTTGGTGGAACTGGGGCTTGAACTCAGGCCCTTGCGCTTGCCAGGCAAATGCTTATTCTACTGAGCCATCTCCCTGGCCCTTGTTTTGCTGTTCTCTACCATGAACTGTTTCCCTCTGCCATGTGCCATGCTGCCATGGAGCCAGCTAAGTATGGTCTGAAACCTCGACAAACTGAATTAAACCTTTCCTTTCTTAATTTTGGGTCTTAGGTATTTTGTCCCAGCAATGAGAGAAAAGTAACTGAGACAGAGACACAGGAAAAAAACAGAAAGAGAGGCTGGTTAGAGGCAATGAGAGTGCCAAAGTTAATATTTTGTCTCAGAACTGCCACCTCTCTATCTGTCCTTTCCCTGTGTGCTCCTGGCCTGTCTCTTCTCCCTGGCTGCCTTTCCCTCCTGGGAGTCAGGGAGTGTAGAGGAGCATGTGGAGAAGGCAGGGCTCTCCTTGGTCACTAGGTGGTTGTGTTTGGGAGCTAGTTCCTTAGCAGATTGGGAGAAAATTTGGGAGTAAAAGCTGGGAGATTTGAGAAGAAAGGGTAGAGGTCACAGTGAACAGGCTGCTGAGACTGGCCTGGGTAGCATCAGGGAGCAGCCTCAGCTTCAAGCATGCAAATTTCCCTGTCCCCCATGTCAAGCCAGAAACAGGCCACCACTCTAGAAGAGATTTCCCCAAGAGAAGGCCTCCCTTCTCCCGCATCACTCCACATCTGTGAAAGCCCCTTATTCCTCTCAGGACTTCGGAATGTCTTCAAGCCTCCTTGTTTTACAGCCCTCTTCTCTTTCTAATCTCAGTGTTCATCTTCATGTCCTCCATGCCCCTCAGGCACTATTAACTCTCCCTCCTCTGTGTCCCTCATCTATGCTTTTCCCAGGGCAGGTGTCACACTGTGAAATAATTTTGTTGCTATATTGTGATCTGCTTAATAGCCGGACTAAATCTTTTTAATCATTGCATTCTCAGGTTCCTTACAGTTCCTAAAGTACAGTTGATATGCAGATTGTTAAAGGTGAATCTCATCCCTGACCCTCTCTCTAAGTACAGAGGCTATATACATTCCTTCTCCTTATTTTTTTTAAAAAAAATTTATTTTATGGAAGGATCTACAGGTTGTTCAGGGTCTTGCTACTGTATTGGACTCACAGTGATCCACCTGTTTACAGCCTCCGAAGAGTTGGGATTACAGGCACGTGGGCCCAGTCTCAATTGCCATCTCAGTGCTTCTTGGGGCTGGGGCTGCAGGGCCCTTCTACTTTTGTTTTTTTTCTTTTTAAATATTTATTTATATGTGTGTGTGTGGCCAGCTCAGCCCACCAGGGGGGCGAAGCTGGCTGGCATGTGGTGCTGGGGGATTGAACCGAGGTGCCTGTGCTTTGCTAAGCTTGTTCTAAGTAGGTGCTTTAGACCACTGAACCATCTCACGAGCCCCTTTCTACTTTTCTTAAGTTCTTTGTTTTGTTTGTTTGTTGAGACATGGTCTTGCTGACCTTGAGCTCACTTTTTAGCCCAGGCTGGTCCCAAACTTGCAATTATCTTCCTGTCTCAGCCTCTTAAGTACTGGGATTACAGATGTGTGCCACCACACTCAGCAGTCTTTTAAAGCTTTTATTCTCAGGGCTGTCCAGATTGCCTAGGTGATTAAAGCACCTGTGTAGGCTGATGCAGGGGTTGGGGGAGGGCTGATCCCTGTGCTATGCCAGCCCTGCCCTCAGGGTGTGCTGAGCCAGGAATGAGACTGGGCGTGGTGGTGCATGCCTGTAATCCCAGTGCTTGGGAGGCTGAAGACAAGAGGATCCTTAAGAGTCTGACATGTGTAGTGAGATCCTGTAGACCCTGTACTAAAGATATATTTTTTAAAAATTAAAGCTTTTACTCTCTTACTCCTTTTATTGGCACCAAGATTTCCTTCCTAAGAGATCATTGCATGTATAGACATGCATGCCTCCTGCTGGTGTGAAGGGTTATGCTCACTCCCATGTGCACCATGGGGCCTGTTGTCATTTCTCTTCAAGCTTTTTTGGAACTTGCCCTGCTTCTTCCCCTCATTTCCCAAACCTGGGGATATGTTAAATAAATTGTTTCCAGTTGAGCTTTCATTTATTTCTTTTTTAAAAAAGAATATTTGATACAGGATCTCACTACTCAGCTCAGTTTTGTAGTGATTCTCCTGTTTCAGCCTCCCCAGCACTGAGATTACAGACATGCACCACCATGCTGTCTTGGTGGCCAGCTCAGGGCACCTGGGGTGAGGCCAGCTTAGCATGTGGTACCGGGGATTGAACCTGGGTCCTTGCGCTGGCCTAGGCAGGCACTTAGATCATTAAGCTATCTTTGCAGCCCTAGTTGAGCTTTTAAAGAAGAACTTCCAGTACATATTACATATGTCTATCTATACTAGTGCCTTCTGCCTCTTTAGCATTTACAGATGCCTGGTGATCTAGTTGAAGAGGCAGCCACTACTTCAGAAAGATATTATTGGTGGTCCGCCATTCGTCTTCGCATGCCTTCCCCATCATATCTCTTCTGTTACCTACCAGCGCCGAAGAGGAGGAGAAGGAGGACTAGAAGACCACAACTGAACTCTCTCCCTGTCAAGATGTCTATTGGTGTGCCGATTAAAGTCCTGCATGAGGCTGAGGGCCACATTGTGATGTGTGAGACAAACACTGGTGAAGTATATTGGGGGAAGCTCATTGAAGCGGAGGACAACATGAATTGCCAGATGTCCAACATCACAGTCACATACAGAGATGGTCAAGTGGCACAGCTAGAGCAGGTATACATCCGTGGCAGCAAGATCCGCTTTCTGATTTTGCCTGACATGCTGAAAAATGCGCCCATGTTAAAGAGCATGAAAAATAACCAGGGCTCAGGAGCTGGCCGAGGAAAAGCTGCTATTCTGAAGGCTCAAGTGGCTGCAAGAGGAAGAGGACGTGGAATGGGACGTGGAAACATCTTCCAGAAACGAAGATAACTTTTATTTATTTATTTATTTTAATTAATTATTTGTGTGTGTGTGTGTGTGTGTGTGTGGCCAGCTCAGCCCACCAGGGGTGGTGGTGGTACTGGCATGTGGTGCTGGGGGATTGAACCGTGGTCCCTGTGCTTTTAGTTTGTTCTAATAGGTGCTTTAGACCACTGAGCCATCTCACCAGCCCCGAAGATAACTTTTATGTTGAACAGAACTGTGCTTACATTTTTTATTCAGGGTATCTTGAGTTCATGGGGGCGGGCACTTGTGTGTATATCTTAGATTTGCTTTGACATCTTTCTCTCTAGATCCTAGGAAATGTTAAACTAAATAAATCTGGTGGTTCTGGTTTGGAAAAAAAAAAAGATATTATTGGACATGCTCTGTAAGCATGTAACAGAGCACCTGACTTTATCCTGGGTCAGGTATAACTTCTTGAGGAATGAAAACTTTTGTCCAATGCTCTGATTTAACTAGAAGGTAGGGGGCTCATGGGTGGAAAAAGAACCAGAGAATCCTGTGTTTAAAAGCCCCATAAATACAGGGTATAGCAAGGATGTGGAGATGGGTGACAGTGGCCCAGATGAGATCGGAGGAGTGGTCTTGGATGAGATAAACAGGGATTTGCTGTGTGATAAGCTCACTCTGGTCAGGGATCTTTTGGTTGAAAGTGGCAACAAATCCACCTAAGAAAAAAAGAGGCCTTTATTGGCTCAGCAGTTTAGGGCTTTTAAGATCAAAGATGCCATTGAGCTTCGACACCTCTATCATCTTTACTGTCTTTGTGTTAGCTTCTGTCTTTCTCTATGAAATGATCCCCTGATCTCCTGGCACCCAGCAGACAAAAGAGTGAAGTGGAAGCAAATATCAAATATGGGTGAGCAAGGATCCTTGATGCAGGCTGCTCATCTTCCTGCTCTTGAAAGCCTTCAAGGTTACATCATTCAAGAGGAGCCAGGACTTCTTTGCCTTAGAGCTATTGCAGCTGGGTAGGTCCCTGGTTTCTCAGGGAGATTTTGGAGGTGGAGATAGGGACAGGTGAGGGGACTGTTCCAAGACTCCAAGCTGTTTTCTTTCTTAAAATAATACCACCCTCACCTCCACCCCTTCTCTTTAAAGGCCTAAAAAACATTTTCTCAGCTTCCCCAGGAAGAGAAAAAAAGGAGCAGGAACCGTGGAGACTTATGTCTTCTACTCCCTCATTTGTCACTGTAACTCCCAGCTGCCCCCTTGTACTAAGAGGGCTTTGACCTACTTGGCCAACACCCACCGCTTCTTCCCGCCAGCCTCCTGGTCCTTTCTCAAACCTTTTCATGTCCCGCCTCAACTTCTGGGTCTCACAACTCCTCCTCTACCGGGTGAACAGTCCTTCGCCTCACGCAAGCCCTCCTTAGCAGGTCCAGTGGAAGAGTATCCCACCCGGGGACCCTCCCCCCCACCCTTTCTGGGATCTGGCCGGCGCTTCCGCCTCCGGGGCGGAGACTCCTCCCCCTCCCCTCTCCGTCCCAATTGTAGTCCCTGGAAGAGCAGCCCGAGAAGCTGCTTGCTCTGCTTGCTCCCAATCCGGGTAGGAGACAGCTGGTTCCTCCCCGCTGTCGACTTCCTCAGCCTTCGGAACCGCAGCGTAGTGGCCCTGAGGCTGCAAGCACCACCCGAGCCAGGCTGCGCTGTTTCAGCACCACGGACAGCACCCGCCCGAGGCTCTTGCTGGTGCTATGCAGGCGGCATGTCCTGGCGCTGCAGCCCCATGGCGCTGCTCCTCAGCTTGGGCCTCCTCGGGCTGCTCCTAGGTAAGAACCTGCACCGGCCAGGTCCCGCTATCTGGGGTGATGGCCCAAGACGCTGTGCTGTCTTACCCAGCCAGGCTAGAAGGTGCAAGGGAGGGGTCCCCTAGGGCTGGGGAAGCCTGCTGAGGGGTACGGGAGAGACCCCCCCGGAGTGGCAGGGTGCACCCAGAGACCGAACAGGGAAGAGCACCCACCCCAAGAAGTAAGTGATGCAAGGGAGGTGTGGAAACCTGACCGGTGGTGGTGAGGAGGCTGGGGCCACAGGGAGGATGCTTTCTGCAGTGGCAGGGGGCTGGTTCTGATGACAGCTGAGATGCCATCTGATTTCTTGGTAACACATTATCTCAAGCAACTTATCTGATTGAGCATCTCTCCCTAGGCTCCCTACCACTTTCCCCTTCAGCATTCACACAGGAGTAAGGCAGGAAGGGGAGAGAGCAGACTTTCCAGTCCTTGTTGTCTGGCAAGACAGGAAACTTGAAAGGGAAAACTGATAGGCTGAGGACCAGGAAGGAGCTCTCTGAAGGCCTGGGGAGGGCACATCTGTGTGGGGTTATGGAGGGGCAGGTGCAAGGGGCCAAGCTCTCCACACCTGCATGCCCCTAGTGGGCTGCACTCCTGTGTGGATGGAGCTTGAGGCTAATCTGACCCAGAGCTTCCCAACCCACATTTTAGACTGCCCAACCATTCTACCCCCGTCTGATGCCTGCAAGGGAAGGGGCTGGTGTCAAGAGCACAGTCCCATGCAGAGACATACAGTAATATTGACACACATTAGCGTGCAGTGGTTGAAGAGCAGGTGTGTGGTGGGATGCAGGCTGGCCCCACTCGCTACACTCTTTAAGTCTCCCATGAGTGAATAGTGTGTATTTGACAGGGAAACCATGGAAGTAGAGACCCTTCTGAGGGATCTTGAGACGAGCAGATCTCTATCAGTTCTTGAAGCAGTTCTAGTCTGGAAGTCTCGTTAGGGCCTGTCAACTTTTTGTTTGAGACACGGTCTTGTCATATAGTTTAGGATTGCCTTGAACTCACCATGTATCTCTGGCTGGCCTCAAACTTGTGGCAATCCTTCTGCTTTAACCTCCCGAGTACTGGGATTACAGGCGTATGCCACCTCACCGTCCCTGTCAGAACTTCTTAGTCAGTGGTCACAGATGAGGGCTTCTCTATGGGGCCCTTAATCCAGGCCCTCCATGGGGTAACCTGAGCACTTTGTAGTGTCCTTAGAGACAGCAGTAAGAAGCAATAGCCTCCTGGTTGGGCCTAATGGATCGCCCCACTTGCCTGAGGATGGCTCCTTTGTGAGCCCTTCTGTTTACTTACTTCCTGCTTCTGCCTTGCCTAGGAGTGTGGGGTACAGACACAGAGGAGCGACTGGTGGAACATCTCCTGGATCCTGCGCGCTACAACAAACTTATCCGCCCAGCCACCAATGGCTCTGAGCTGGTGACAGTGCAGCTCATGGTGTCACTGGCCCAGCTCATCAGTGTGGTAAGTGTGGGTCCTAACCTCTCTGCCAACCTACCGAGTGTATTAGTATTTGTGTTTACTTGCTAAGTGTGTTTCATGTGGGTGTTACTGGGGGGTGGCAGGGGCTCCTCAGAAGCTTTCCTCTTTCCCTGCAGCACGAGCGGGAGCAGATCATGACTACCAATGTTTGGCTGACCCAGGTCAGTGCTCTTCCCACTACACCTGGCCATCTCTTTCTTCCTGTTTTTATTTTTATTTATTTTATTTTATTTTTCCTGTCAGTTTCCTCAAGAGAGCAAGAAAGGGTATAGACCTTAAGAGTCCCACATAATTGAGCTTAAATCTTGGTTCAGTTACTTATTAGTTCTATTATTTTATTTTTCATTTATGTATTTGGTACAGGGTCTCACTGTGCAGCTCCAACTCATAGTGATCCTCCTACTTTCCGCCTCCTTAATGCTGGGATTATAGGCATGTACCACCACGCCCAGACTCTGTCACTAGCTCAGTGTGCCCAGGGGCAGGGCCAGCATGCCTGTGGAGCCAGGGATCGAACCCTGGTCCCTGTGCTTGCCAAGGCAAGCCCTTAGTCCACTGTGGCTGTGTTATTTTAAGCATATTAAAGTTCTCAGGTTCATTTTTTCACTTGTAAAATGTCAATCATAATACCTTTCAAATTACATATGAAAGAATCATACAAGCCATACTTCATGGGCAAAAAACTCACTTTTGGGGATGATGCTGGTTTTAAAAGCTTCCTCAAGCCACATAGGTTTCCTCTTGTCCCTTTCCTTGACCTTTGGTCTCTTCCGGGGTGGAGATCGGTGCTGCCTCCCTCTCCTCCTTTCCCAGGAGTGGGAGGATTATCGCCTCACCTGGAAGCCTGAGGAGTTTGACAATATGAAGAAAGTTCGACTGCCTTCTAAACACATCTGGCTCCCAGATGTGGTCCTGTACAACAAGTAGGTGGCTCTGGGGTAAAGGAAAGGTTGGGAGATACAATGGGAGCAGTCAGGAAGGGAAGAAGAGACCTTCCCTTGTGGGAACATAAATTAGCCTTTCTATGAGAGGGAGGGGGATTCTCCAGGCAGACGGAAGACCCAGGCCAAGCTGACTTGTGCTATGACCTGTCAGTTAGGACTACTGGGAACTTGGAGCTGTGGTGAGGTTATAGGATCCCAATTGACTGAAATATAGGCTTTCATGGAAGTTTGGGCAGGATCAGTGGACCTTAAAGTTCCAGTTTCTTCTCCAGGGTCTTGCTCACCGCCTGCAGTAATTCCTCCACCTGATCCCATGGATAACGGGTCTACATCCTAGTCCTCCCTGCCCTTGTGCCCCTCCATAGCTGGGAACTCCTCACTCTGGTCTCCCTACTTTCTCACACTCATGAAAAGTAACAGGCTTACACAATATGAGACACATAGAAGCATGTCCTCTCCCTCCCTTCCTCTACCCTCTCCAGCCTCAGAGGGCCTCCTGACCAGGGCACATCTTCTTGCCACCAGCTCGCCCATTGGCCCTTCCTGCTAACTCCCGCTCCAGCCCTCCTACTCTTGGATGGTTGCTCTCCCAGCTGTGGGGGTTCTCCTCTCCCTAGCCTGCCTACCTTTTCTCTCCTCCCACTCAGGCTGGGTAGATGGGTGGGAATGGGGAACCACTTAGGCCAGGGCTGACCATGCCCATTCTTGACAGTGCTGATGGCATGTACGAAGTGTCTTTCTACTCCAACGCGGTGGTCTCCTATGACGGCAGCATCTTCTGGCTGCCACCTGCCATCTACAAGAGTGCGTGCAAGATCGAAGTAAAGCACTTCCCATTTGACCAGCAGAACTGCACCATGAAGTTCCGCTCCTGGACCTATGACCGCACAGAGATTGACCTAGTGCTTAAGAGTGACGTGGCCAGCCTGGACGACTTCACACCCAGTGGGGAATGGGACATTGTGGCACTGCCAGGCAGGCGCAATGAGAACCCCGACGACTCCACCTACGTGGACATCACCTATGACTTCATCATCCGCCGCAAGCCACTCTTCTACACCATCAACCTCATTATCCCCTGTGTGCTCATCACCTCGCTGGCCATCCTCGTCTTCTACCTGCCATCTGACTGTGGAGAGAAGATGACGCTATGCATCTCTGTGTTGCTGGCACTCACAGTCTTCCTGCTGCTCATCTCCAAGATCGTGCCGCCCACCTCGCTCGACGTGCCCCTCGTCGGCAAGTACCTCATGTTCACCATGGTGCTGGTCACCTTCTCCATTGTCACCAGTGTGTGCGTGCTCAACGTGCACCACCGCTCGCCTACCACACACACCATGGCGCCTTGGGTCAAGGTCGTGTTCCTAGAGAAGCTGCCCACACTGCTTTTCATGCAGCAGCCGCGCCACCACTGTGCCCGCCAGCGCCTCCGCCTACGGCGGCGGCAACGCGAACGCCAAGGTGCCGGGGCCCTGTTCTTCCGCGATGCGCCTGGGGCTGACACCTGCACCTGCTTTGTCAATCATGCCTCTGTGCAAGGCCTGTCTGGGGCCTTTGGGGCAGAGCCGGCACCAGTGAGTGGCCTGGGGCATCCTGGGGGGCCATGCAGCTGCGGCCTCCGCGAGGCAGTGGATGGTGTGCGCTTCATCGCAGACCACATGCGGAGCGAGGACGATGACCAGAGTGTGAGTATGCAGGAACCAACATGGGGCGGGAGCGGGAAGGAGCCCCTTAGCACATGAGGCCCAGTGCAGGGTGGAGAGATGAGTTGGGCCCGCTGCCCGGTCCTGGGCGCTGGCCTGGTTTTTCTGTGTTGCTTCCCCGAGGCTGTGTCACCTAAAGTGCAGATGCTTCAACATTACCTTGGGCCTCCTCGTGTCCAGGGAGAAAGGCCTCAGCTGGGCTATCTTAGTGTTGGGTGGGCAGCCTGGAAAGAGGCCCTGCTGGCTCTGCAGCTGGCCTCTGGCTGTCACCACTGGAGCCCTTTCTTGCAGTCAGCATTGCACATTGTTAATCTGCAGCTCTTAGCACAGACAGAGGCGAGTCCTTTGTTAGCCCCATGGGAGGCAAAATCGAGGACAGTAAGCCTGTGTGTGTGGCTGTGTGTGTGTGCCTGCGCGCGAGAGTTGAGAGGTTCTGTGAGCCTGCTTAAATCGATACTCCTTTTCTGCTCTTCTGGGGCCCAGGGTGAAATATTTATGGAGGTGGGGGTGGGTGGAGGTGAAGCCTCCCTGAACACCTCTCTGAACCCATAATTTTGGCTTTTTCTGGAGCAGCTCCCCAGAAAGGGAATCCTTGAGACTGAACCAGGAGTTGGGGAGAGGTGTGGTCGGTTGACATCACCCCATTTGGCACAGCTGGTCTGCTCTGTGGGCAGCCTCCACCTGGCTAGTTTTAGGTCAAGGCTCAGCTGTTGCCATGGTGACTGGCCAGGCTTCCTTTGGGACACTCCCATTCTGGTCTGGGGACAGGAAGGGCAGGCATCATGCTTTGTGTAGGCTGGGAGGGTGTCAAATGTCTGCTCCCCTGGTCAGCAGGAACTTTTTGTTGCTAAAGCTTGGACCAAAGAGCATTTCTAGTTGGGATGAAGGGAGATGGGGTGGGGAGCCTCAAGGCTCCCTGAGGTCAGGTGGAGGAGCTGGGATGCAGGGCTCAGCTGCCGCCGCCTCACCGCCTCCTCATTGCACCTGCTGCAGTGCTTTCGTGTGTCAGCGTTTACCCAGCTGGTGCTGGGGATCCTCAAGCTACTTGGGTGCCTTGCAGGGCCCTCAACCTCAGCAGGGCCAACTGTGTGCTGGATCTACGTGCCTACCAGACCTTCCCTAGCATGTAGCACATGGCATCCCCATTCACCCAGCGGTTCAGGCCAAAACTCTAGAGTGATCCTCGACTCCTATCTTTCGCTGTTATTTTCCCCACCATCTGGATCATCCCAAGTCCTGTCCTGTGAGCACCATCTCCAAAATAACCTGCAACTTCATCCTTTCCTCACCACCCCTGTGCTAACACCTGGCTCTAGGTTGCCACAAGCTCTTTCCTGGAGTAGGAAGGTCTCTCCTAATTGTCCCCCTTCCTCAGCCACAGGATCTGGATAATCATTGACCCCTGTCCACTTGTCTGCTCCCACTTGCTCAGAGCACTGAGGTACTGCTGAGCTGTCTGAAGCAAGACCAGCTGTTTTTTTTTTTTTTTTTTTTTGCCTCAGGGCCTTGGCACGGATGGATCCTTTTGTTCGAAATGCTTTTCATTTTTCCTTCAAAAAGATTATTAGTATTATTAGTTTTTGCTTGACTGTGTGAGAGGAAGTTGGAAACACTAATCATTTATCCCAAGTGCTCCAGTGTATCTCTTAGGGACATTCTCACCAGAGGGGTGGGGCTCAATGGTGGAGTGTGCTTGGGACCCTGGGTTCTATTTCCAGCAGAAAACAAGTCAAACCCCTGGGATTAATGATCACATGCAGAAAATTGACCCCCAATGACTTTATCTAATATAAAGTCCACATTCACATAGTCCCACTTGTCCCATAGTAATGTCCTCTTTGGTGTCACTGTCCCCACCCCCACCGCAATCCAAGACCCCAGACTGCATGTAGTTGTTGTGTCTCCTTCACTTCCTCCAGTTTGGAATCACTCCTCAGCTTGGCCTTGCAGGGCACAAGCATTTTTTTTTTTTCTTTTGTGGAACCAGGGATTGAACTCAGGCCCTTGCGCTTGCCAGGGAAGCACTTATTCCACTGAGCCATCTCCCCAGCGACACAAGCATTTTTAAAGAGTACTGTTTGGATCTGAGTTTTTTTCTTCACCTTATCCCCAAAACAACAGTCTCCTCCTCCCCTATCAGATCTTAGCCTAACAGCCACTCCCTCCCAAAGCCTTTCCAAGCCATCCCGTACTTTATATCCCCCTCCATTTCTCTATCTCAGACCTTGTTTGCCCACACTGTGTGTCATTTTTCAACATTCGTACATATTTTTACTTCCGTCTCCCTCAGGAAATTGTAAACTGCAGGCTATGTTTGTCCTGCTCAGTTGTGTCTCCAGTGCCCATCATGGTGCCAGGTGGATGGTAGGCACAGTAGCCGCATGCTTGAGTGATTATTCAGCTGCTGACTAAAGGGATGCATGGCTGATGGCCCCCATCCCGCCAGCTGGAGGGGCTCCTGTGTGCGCAGGCCCCAATGCAGGCTGCGGCGGGACAACGCTGAGGAGCACTGGCTGGCTCTCAAAGCCTGGAGAGCTTGATCTTTCTGACTCATCAGTCTTCTCCCTTTGGGGCCTTTGTGCTTCATGGAGAAGGTGATATTTAATTTGGACTTTGAGGGATATGTAGGGGTTTGCCTGGTGGAGAAAGGGAGGTTGTGATTTTCAGACACCGAGGAAACCCAAAGGCACAGAGACCTGAGAGATCATGTGGTTTGGTTTGTGGGGTGGGAGAAAAGAGGAGATAGGACTCTAATTGTCACGGGACTTGGATTCCAGATCTGGAGTTGTGGATGGGCCACGAAGGCAGGTAAGATGGGAGCCGTGCTTAAGTTGCTGAGGGGGAGGACTGGGATGTGGCTGTGTTGGTAGGACCTGCTTATAGTCATCCCACTCCTATCTTTCATCGTGTGACTGACACCAGGCCTCCTTCATCTCCTCCGTCCAGGTGAGTGAGGACTGGAAGTATGTCGCCATGGTGATCGACCGCCTGTTCCTCTGGATTTTTGTCTTTGTCTGTGTCTTTGGCACCATTGGCATGTTCCTGCAGCCTCTTTTCCAGAACTACACCACTGCCACCTTCCTCCACCCGGACCATTCAGCTCCCAGCTCTAAGTGAGACCTTGCTCACCTCCACCCTCCTGCACCCCTCCGCCCTGTCGTATGGTAGTGTCAGGTGGACGGTGGACAAGCAAGCTACCAGGAAGAGGGGTGCTGCCCCCACAGATCCATCCTCCTGCTTCACCTCCCCACACGTCCATCTACATAGCCAGCTGCAGCCTGGAGGAATGGACCAGCTCACAGCATTCGGCTGCTTTCCTCTCCTCTTGCCAACCAGACAACAGTGGCGGTGGAGGACAATGAAGGCTGCAAAGTGGGGACAGAAATGTCGGAGGCTCCCACCCAATTGGGCTGATCAGGAGGGGCCCACAAAGAACAGAAGGATCCAAGACCTCCACATCATAGAAAAATGGGGTGTGAGGGAGGGGAAGAGAGACAGGAGCTCAGACTATGCTGGCCTAGCTGACACAAGGGGTAGAGCAGAGGAGAGGAGCTGGATGTGACCTGGCCTCCGCTTCACTGGGCCACAACTCACAATGCTAGAGGGTCCTGCCCAGAGGGCAAAGCCTGGCCCTGCGGTCCAACTCCTGGGGGCACCTCTTGCTCAGTCCCACTGCCCTGCATCTCAGGGTTCCAGTGCACAGTCCAGGTCCCCTTCTTCCTAATGACGAGTTCAGAGCCTTCTGACTTTCCTCTGTCCCTGTCTTATTCTGGCTCAGGGAGTGGTGGGCAAGGCTGGCCCTGAGTTCTGTGCCTCTGAGTGACCCACTTGGAATCTGAGACCCAAATACTAAACTATGTGAAAAGTGTAAGTTTTCAGGCTGCGGGATATGGAGGACCCTGTCACAGTCACAGATTCTAGAAGGAGCCATGTTTAAATGAAGAAACACCCAGTTGCACGGTGGGTTAGCGCATGATAGTTACGTGACAAGTGAAGACACAGACCAGAAGGCGCTACAAGGCTGAACAGCTTTGACGCTGCCTGACCACCTCAAGGACCATCTAACTGCGCAGCGCCCTTTCTCCTATTTGGAACTGACCTGGCTGCTGGAAGGGCAGCAAGTGAGCATGTCAGCTTCAGGGAGACCGGGCCTTTACGTCTGCAGCAGAGCTGGGCTGGGCATTGCGGATTGGCAAAACGGGGCATGTGGCCGGAACTTGGGCCCTCTGCATTGCTCATGCCTCAGCAGGTTGGAAGTGGGCCTCAGGTCAGGACTGCTACCACCAAGGACTTCCCGGGAAGCAGCGCTTTGGTTGCCTATCCTGGGGCCATGCAGGTGGCTCCCAGGGGCCCACCAGAGGCCACTTGGCTGGTAAGCCCAGGACACAGACCTGTTAGGGATGTTCTGCCCACCTTGTGACTGGTGCTCAGTGTTGAGCCAGCAAAAGGCAATGCACAGAGGGATCGGTTGACCAGATGTCCCCAGGAGATCTGCCCTGATCCTGGCCATCCTGTGTTCTGAGTCCAGAAGGGACTGCTGCTTCTCCAAGCACAGGGGAGGTTGGAGACCATGCTGATGGGCAGAGAACACTGTGGGCAAAGAGCATTGGACGAGTGCTGGAGACCAGGTTCTATCTAGGCCCAGCTCTGCTACACTCTCACTAAGCCAGTCAGATCTTACTAGGCCTCAGCCTCTTTGTTTATAAAATGGAGAGAGGCTTTTTCCCTCCCTGGGGTTGTAGTGAGGCTGAAGGCTTGTGAAAGACAGTGTACCTGACACAGAGGAGGTTCTTCATGAATATTGAGACCATCAGATCCCATGGGTGGAGCTGCCTGGCTAGCATGCCACCTCCCCCGCAGGCCTCATTACCCCCTCTTCCTTGAGCAAGCTGTCTGCCAAGCAAGGGTTAGGAAAGGGCATTGCTAGTTGGTCTGCTGGGCTGGGCTTCCCTCCCTGGCAGGCCTTTGCCCTGGTCCTGCCTCCCCTGGGACAGGTATGTGCTGGGGCAGGCGATCTAGACCTGGCTATGGAAAGGGATCTCAGTGCATCCCCACTGCTCAGAGTGGGAGCGTGGGCATTTCTTCCTGGTGGTGGGGAGTGTCCCTGCATCACCGAGACACCCTCTTCTAGAGCAGAGTTGAGGATTGCCCGGATCATGCGTTGGCCTACTGCTAACTCAGGAGAGTCCTGGAGAATAGCTGGAGTTGGCAACAGCAACTAGAAGGGAACTCTAGCTCTGGAGGGGGACTGCTGGCTGGCGGCCTCATCAGCTGCTGCTGCTGTGGTTGTGTTTGCCCCCCCCCCCCCGTGGCTGTTATCCAAATTAAGCCACCAGGGGCCGCTAGAGGAGACAGTGGAAAGCAGTGTGTCCAACTTCTGTATCCTATTTAACACACAGGGTAACTGAGGCATGGAGACAGTGTGTTGTCCGATTTGTATAAGGCATGTACCCCTGAACATGCCGTTCTGCATCTGTTCAGTGGGAATGACAGTGGGCAGGGGTGCTACAGGGAAGGAGTAGGGCGGCAATGGAGGAAGGTTACTGGGCAGCCTCATTCCTTGCATTTGCAGCCTCACTGTTGCATTCCTTGCAACAGCGAGGGTAGGAGGTGGGCACCAGTGCATGGTATGAAGAGGGAGGTAGAGAAACTGGATGGAAATCTGCCATGAGGGCTTGAGGGGAGAGTGAGGGCAGGAGTTGGGATTCACCATCAGAGATGGTGAGAATAGTTATTAATATAGCCACCTTAGAGAGTTAGTACCGCAGCTGGGTGGGGGGCAGCTTCCTGGCCGTGAGGCAGTATCCCTGCCACATGTGTTCTGCAAGGAAGGCTCTCCACAAAAGGGCAGGACCACTTCCTCCAGGAAACAGGATGATCTGCGCACTCCAGCCCTCGGGCCAGTGTTTGGCTTCTCCAAATCCTGGGATTTGCTGCCGTGTCCTGAGCACGGGTTCTGTGTCATCTTCTCCAATGCATGGTTTTACTTCCTTGCAGCAGCCTTGAGGGGGAGGGGCCAGAGGCCAATAGGGCTGAGCTTGAAACCCAAGACTGTCCCAAAGTGCAGGCTCTCACTGTGACCTTTGGGATGGGCAGGACAGTTCTCATGGAGGGAAGTGAGGCGCATTTGGTGCCTCTCTGCCTCATTCCCAGGCCAAAGTGACCTGTCCAGGTAGAGGTGGGCTGGTGTCCTACCACCCCTCATGGCTCACACAATGCTGGCCAACTCCCTGCACTGGTCCGCAGCAGACAGAAATCGGCAGCCACCTTTCAGTAGTTTTCCCGGCAGGTCTAAGAAGTCCAGGTGATAGTCACAGTGTCCCAAAGGACCACAGCTCTAGGAATCAATAGGACACCTCACTCACACACCTCCGGTGCTGGTCTCTCACTGCCCAAGGCCTCACGGCTGCACTCCAAGACTAGCACCATGGGACTAGCCGCTCCAGCTGGACTCACTGGGAACTCAAGATTCTCTTAAGAAAATTGTTTCCAAAGATGTTCTGTTACTGGTGTTTTGTGGGGGGAGGGGGTGTTATGTGGTGGTAGGGCAACGATTCATGGGCCAGAGCTGGCTAATGGGCTAAGAAGGAAGAATTCTGGAAAAGCTGGACCCATGAAGGGTCAAGGGTACTATACAAATGCAAAGGAAAGGTAAATGGTGATGGTGTGCTGTTGAATTATTGTGCTTTGTTGCCTTACGAACGTATTTATCAGGAAGTGGCTGAGTGAGTGGGCCTAGGATAGACAGAGCCCAGAAATGGGCCCCAGGAAGACTGAGAAGCCAAGGCTGAAAATGGTGGGCTCATCAGGCCCCTGATCCTGAAAATGAGGTTAAGCTGTGGGGCTGAGGCTACAGCTCAGAGGCAGAGTGCAAGCTCAGCACAAGCCACATTGACTTTCCATGTCCAGCGCTGCGAAAAGCAAACTGCGGACCCCTGAGAAGAGAAAGATGCAGGATGGACAGCAACTGGAAGGCAGGGCGGGCCTGCTTCCTGCTGCCCTGAGCTGGGGGAGAGGACCCCACTTGCTCCCTCCAGCACCCACTGCATGTGCATTCTCCCCTCAGCCCAGCGCACTGCCTACTTACTAAAGCACATGAGCATCACAGTTCTCTGGGGGAACCAGGAGCTGCCTGAGGACAGGGACACTTCAATTCCTGGGCCACCAAGCCAGGCAACACTCTGCAGGCTTTAAGTTAAAAATTTCTCACTTCCAACACTTTCAGCCCCCCATGAAACTGTGTGGGGTCCTGGTTCCTATGCGTTAGGCTCCCAAACATTTTACTGGCTCTTGTGGCCCCAGCTGTCCCATCTGGATCAGGATTAGGGCAGTTTCACAGTGACTTAGTTTCACTCTTTGCTACTTTTTTTTTTTTTTTTTGTATTTGGTACAGGATCTCTCCATAGCTGACTCATAGTGATCCTGTTTTCAGTGTCCCCAGCCCTGGGATGACAGGCGTGTGCCACCACGCCAACTCAGCAGCTGGCTCAGTGGGCCTGGTGGCGGGGCCGGCACAGCACATGGTGCTGAGGTTTGAACCCCAAGTCTATCTCATGGGCCCCCTGTTAGCTAATTTATATCCACTGGTATGCTAGCAATGTTAAAAGGTCAAGGACGGGTCTTCCAGAAATCTTGGGAGTGAGTTACAATGTAGACAGAGTAGGTAAAATTCAAGATAAAAATTTCAATGCTACAGTGTGAGAAAGCAAAGCCTGTCCTGGTCCCACATCTCCTTACAAGGAAAACAGCTGGGGAGGGGTAGAGAAACAGCTCTCAGAGAACAGGAATCATGAGTCCTCTCCTATTCTGGGCCTTGACATCCTGCATATTAGGCCCCAAGGGGGCCTGACAGGGGCCCCCATTGGTGGCTCTGACAGGGGGGTGGGGGTGGGGGGAACAACACAAGGTGCCCAATGGATCCCACCCTGCCCGAAGCAGCTCGCCGACCCACCAGGCTCTTCACAGTGCCTTTTCTGTAGCTGGAGGGATGACCTCCCCAAGTTCTGTCAGATGCAGCTGGTGATGTTAGCCCAAGTCCCAGGACCACAGGTTCTCGGTCCCCACTTTTCATCTCCCCCACAAAATCAAGACTTGAAGCTTTCTAACAATTCAGATTTATCTTTGTTTTTATTCATGAGGAATGTATACTTTTAGAATCAAGGGGCACAAAAAGCAGAATCATAAAACTGGACTGCAGCCATCATGGCACCAAGGCTATGCTTGGGCTCTTCCCTACTCTGCTCTTGGGGTCACTGCCAAGACCCCAAAGCCAACAAAGTCCCTTCAACTGGAGTAAAGGAAACAGCTTCAAGCACTGACAAGTGATTATTCACAGAATGCACAATAGCCACAGTTCAGACAAATCAACTACAAAATCATTAAAAAGAATGGGGGAGGGGACCTTGCTTATAAAAAACAAAGATTGGACAGAAAGTGAACACTGGGTAGAAGCTCTGCCTCAGTCCTGTGACTGGTGGGTAGGGACTGGCACGGCTCGTTTCCCGCAGGTGTGTGGGATGCTTTGCTCTCTCCCCACAGCAGAAATGGAATGTTCCAAGTTTGCTAGATATGAGGAACTCTGATCTTTCGAGAGCCCCTGTGCCCTTGGGAAAGCAGAGGCAGCTGAGTCAGAGCTCTGCCAGAACTCTAATGCCCAAGAGGACCAGAGGGCCAAACATCCTGAGCTATCAGTAGCCTCCAGCCGAAAAACCCAGGGGAGAAGCTTCCGTCCAATGGCTGGGCCCACAACACTGCTCTTCCCCAGAGGCACCTGCCAGGACTAATTTAATGTGCCTTCAGCTGATATTCCAAGCTGGCGATGTGCACAAAGCCAGGGAGCGAGCCTCTTCCATCCCAAAGACAGGCACAAATTCTCCACCAGCTCCTTGGGATGCTTTTGTGTTCTGCAAAAATGACCTCAGTGTATTTTAAAAACTTGTATGTTGGTCAATTTTTGGTCATAGGTACTGAGTGTAAGTAGCCACAATAAAAGTGCAAACATGGATATATCTACGGTTGAACAGGTGGGTGAACCAGACAGCAGCTTGTGGGGTGAGGGAGGCACACCAAAAATTGTGTGAGGGTCCAGGTGCAGCCCCATCCCAGGTGCAGCCAAGCACACCGGGCTGACGGAGCCCTGGAGGCTGAGCCTTCCCAGGGCCTCGAGGCTCTGATCACAGACTCAAGTAGGGCTGAGGTGTAGACAAAGGAGTCCCGAGAGTTTGAGGAAGACCTGCCCTTTCACCTGCATGTACTGTCTCCCCAACAGTAGGAGGACCCCAGGCCTGTGCCCTGCCCCCAGCTTCTAAAGCCATAGCCAAATAAAAACACTTGGATTAATGGGAAAAAAAAGTACATCTGAATTTTAAATCAGTGCAACTAAAGCAAAGAATCAACATCTCTGACGTTCTTTTTAAAAACTCTTAATTTACACATGGCTTAGTCAACTTCCCTTGATACCAATGCCTCAAGAAATATTATACCAGATGCAACAGTGATCTGACCCAACATGATTTTTCTGCCCTTATTCTAAGTCCTGACCATCTGAGCAGAGATGATGCGCCCTCTACAATTTGTCCTGGATTTTCTCCTCGCAGTTGGCTGAGGTCTACAGCCCTCCCCCTCTGCACAGGCAGAGCCTGTTCCTAGGAATGCGTTAGACGGAAGGGCAGAGGGGAGTGTGGTGATGCTCCGAGGAATGTCTGTGCCATCTTGTAGGGGAAACCGAGCTACTGCTTGGGCAACTGGCCTTGCCCACCCTGGCTGGCTGGCCGCTTCCCTGCTGCCTGGGGAAGGGACACACTTTCTGAGCAGCAGCTTCCCCGGGCTGCAGTGCAAGATTCCATCACTGCAGAGGATCTGCAGATGCCAATCACACTCCCATGGGCACTGGCCATTAGCTCACCCACAGTTTTCAACTCCTGCCCTTGTAAACATTGCACTAAACTCTTCAAGCTCACCTTTTTACCCTCTGGGGTGGGGAGGGTGAAACCTGATGATCACAGGAAGGAGTCTCAGGAGGGAAGTACAGCGGCCGTGGGATCCATGAATGAAACCATGAGTTCCTGACATGATTTTCAGAGAACCAACTGGAACTTAATCAAGTCCACAAGAGGTCAGTGTAGCAAACACAGGAAAAGGATAATGGAAAACAAAACAAACTTAAGGGGAAGTGAGCAGCAGGTGCTTAATGACTGTGTATGCTTTGGGTGGAAAGATAAACCCTTTTTCCTTCCTCTAAGTCTGTTTTTTTCCTTGGGAAAAGAGAAGCCTGACTAGGCCCTGCCTAGAAATCCCCAAGAAAGCAGGATAAATGGGGATCCACAGTCTTCAGTACCAGCAATGATGACTCCATTAAAAAAAAAAAAAAAAAAAAGGAAAACCAAAACAAAACAACTGTGAAAGTCCTGACCAATGTGATGAGGAATTCGTGGAATGCTACAACCTCCCTCTAACTAGTGCAAGCCCAGGCCCTCAGTCATTGGGCACGGGGCAGAGATAAAAGTTCTTTTCCTCCTGGGGTTTGCTTATCCAGTTCCCATAGCCCATGTCCTTCAGGCTTTTTTTGAAGTAGTTCTTGGTTATCTCATAGTCACGGGCAGCTTTCTTGGCCTCACCATAGGAGAGTTTCAGTAAATCCCTGCGGTAACGGAAGGAGCAGAGCTTCTTAAATTGAAGAAAAATGTTCTTCTTGGACACCCGGGACAATTCATTCCGTGGCCTGGGGACAAAAGCACTTGTTACTCATCTGGGTCAGCAGTGGCAGAGCCCACGTGGAAGAGTGGGGGCAGAGCAGGTGGCCCCTGCACTCTGCAGCTGGGCTGCCAGGAGCTCAGCCTGCTTCTCTGGTGCCCTCCCACCTCCTCACCCATCCACGGTGCCCCTCGTGCCATCCAGGATCTCTAGGTCATAACCATCAGCCAAACACCAGTTGACGCTGGTCTCCTTAGTCTTCCCGGACTGCCTTTTAGAATCATATACGCTGACCCGGCCCACCTGGAGAGAGGAGGGAGAACCTGTGAGGATACAGTTTGGAAAGAGGGACTCAAGACTCACACGAAAGAGGGCATGTGCGGCTGCGATCCCTCCCCCTTTATCTACATGTGTTTGGCTGTGACCAGGCAGATGCTACACACACTGACTTGACATCAATTCAGACTAATTCTAGACTAAAGGAGGAAAGAGTAAGCTCTTGGTGCACCCACAAAGGCTCCCCTTCCCCACACTGTACACTTCTTCTCTGCTGACAGGATTGCTTGAAAAGAAGAAAAAGCCAAGAGAAAATACAATGGGGTTAGAGCACCTTGGGGTGGTTGACAATAAAGGGGTATCGCAGTCCATCCTCAAATGCATTCCCATCTCTTGTCACACGACAGCAAATAGCACGGGTCAGATGCCCTTGGCTGAAAAGGTAACCTGGGTACAAAGAAAGAAATGTATACACCCGTGTTTGCACCAGATCCTAACAAGAGGCAGAGGCATGTGGGGAGTCCCAAGGCACAAAACAGAGATATCAGG